AAACATTTCCCAACATTCTGTTGTCATGGACTTTTAAAGTTACACGGTTAACAGAGGTTTTTAGAACTTATTTGCATCTTTGACATAGGCCTAAAGAAACTGAATAATCTTCATTTAAGATAAAATTTGATTACTATTCTTTAACATTCTAATCTGCTGCTTCTCAGAATATGCTTGCCAGGACACTAATGTTCTATCTAAATTGAAAAATCTCTTCTGATTGGATTGAAGAAAACATACAGAACAGATGAACATTTAGACAGAGTGGCCAGGGAAGAAGTGCTGAAAAGTAGTCATGTGGGAAATGACCTGAGAATGTACCAAGTACCTTGTCCCAGGTCTGCAGTCACTTAACTAAATTACCTAATGTCCACCAATAGGGACACAGTACCTCCACTCATCAGTATTATTTCTAACCATCCTAAAAACTAGTAAATATGGTTTGAGGTACTGTGTAGTAATTTTCTTTAGATGTTCTTATTGCAGTGAGTGCATAGAACAGTATGAAATTATGGTGTCTGTTACAGCTGACATACAGAGAGATGCCAAAGGAGGCATGTTTTAGCAGAAGGGCTCTACAGCAGGGAACTCAGTTGAGAACTGCCAAGGTTTGAAAGACTTGGGAAGCTAACCTGGTAGTGTCAAATAGAACTCCTGTGTTTGGGGACATGAGCTATATATCAATTGTCGGGCTTCAACCATTACCTACTATTAAAACTAATATAAATTAATATGATTGTAGCATGTGTTTATCATTTTTCTCAAATATTATGGGAAAACATTGAGATTTTAAAAAGGAGTCCAGTTTACTCTGTTTCTTGACATTCCAGAATTGTTATACTTAGGCCATGAGTCTTACGTCACATAGCCACGGAATCCTCAGAAGAGCAGGGTTGGAGGACTGTGAACCAGCAGAGCACTGTCTAACTGAACTTTATGTTACAGTTGGGAAAAATAACCTCAAGACTTCCAAACTCATAAAACATTATCAACTGTACAAACTGACTGGATAATGGTTTAATAATCATAGATTGTTTTGTGTCCATCAAGAAGAGTTTAAGCAATTGTTAGCTGAAACAATTTTGTCTGAAAAGCAAGGTAATAGTTTCTCTTTTGAAGTTCATCTCAGGGTGATCCAGACTCTCGAATCACTGTGAAACTTAAATCTGAACCCTACCTCCACAACTGTGGTTTGCTGATGTGACTTGTGGTCAGTGCATGTTTTTTGTTTGTTTGTTTGTTTGTTTGTTTTAATAACCTGAGACTGTGGTAATAGGCCAGTTCATTTGGTAACCACTGTCTCCTTACTTGTAATATTCTGTGCCACTTCTCTCTAATAATTGAGAACCATTTTTTTCTCTGCATTTAAGTAACAAACAGTGCTTGCGTGGTAAGTAGGTTAGTCATCAAACCTTTTTGGGGTCCTACTAAGCTCCTATCATTTGTCAGCTTTTCATTGCATGAGGATATCAGTAAGTTCTATACAAATGAATAGTGCCATGAAAATCATTCAAAATGCAAATTAATACTAGTATTAATAGTAATACCAAATTACTAACAAATATCATAAACTAAATATTAATAACATCATTAACTACTGTATTCTCTCAAAATATTGTCATCAATAAGGATGCCAAATGTTATTAGTGACTCAGTGTACATTAGATTTCACCAGTAGCATCTGTAGCTCTTCAGACATTGATCTTACAGCAATGCTTGTGCATAAGATACTCTTTAAAGGCAACCAAATTTCAATATGGTAATCGGCAGGTCTTCAAGAACTATATTATTCCATTGCAAACAAGAACATCAACTGTCTTTACCATGGACATACCCAGCACTGTTCAAGGCAGTGGAACGTGCCAAAAAGAAAAACCTGATCTTGTTTGTCAAACAAACTTTAGTCGAGTGACACTGTGGCAATGAGATAGCATGAGAGAAGACAACGATAGAGTGGAGAGAGACACAGAGACATAGCTCCATGGACAGACCAGTCTTTGCATAATTTTAGAAGCTAAATTAACATTCTTTAAATAAAAGTAGTCCAGCAGTTGAGGAACGATGGAAGACAAGGAGGAGGAAGACACTGGTTGCTACGATGGCCAAAGATTTTCAGAGGAGTTGTTTTTCAAGCCATCTAAGTGAAGGGAAGGAAAAAATCCTTGGGAATGTCCTCAATGAGAGTATCTGTGGCTCTGGGAATAGCCAGAGCAGAGGCCGGAAGAGGAGTGAATGTTTGAAGCATTGCAAAGGCAGCAGATGGTGACAATGTGAAGAAATATGGAGAGGGTGACAGCTGAGGGCAGGCAAGAGAAAGAAGAAGACCAATGCCTCTGGCCACAGGAAAGGTTAGGTTTTCAGTTGGTTGGTTGTTTTTTTTGTTGTTGTTGTTGTTGTTTGTTTGTTTTGTTTTGTTTTTTTGTTTTTTTTTTTCTTTGCTTGTTTTTGCTTTGTATCTAACCATTCAGACTGACTCCTGGGGGCTTTGCATGAGAATGGACATGATCTAATTTACCTTGAAATCGATCATGTGTGGCTTCTATATGAAGAACAAATTCATATCATTCAAGTCCAGTGAAAGTGAGAGGAGAGCATGAAGCTGTTGGGGCCGTCTATGCTGTAGATGGGCGACGGGACACGGAAGCAGCAGTGTGGCATAGAGAAGAAATGGAGACGCTAAAAGGAAGAGCTTTCCTTCTGGGGTTGTGCTCTTAGGACGCCTAACACATTCAGAGCGGTCATAAAAAGTTATGGTCAAAAAAGGTTCATGGTTCTGAGTTAATGCTACTATTAAAGCAAAGTTGATTTTTGTATAAAACAGTTTCCTATACAACAAAAAGGACATATATCATTAGAAAAACACTTTAAAAAAAAAAAACAGAAAATGAGGTTGTTCCAAAATTGTTTAGAAAGCCAGATTATCATGTTTTTCCTATTATCTGAGATTGTGCCTTCAAATATTAAGGATCCAGAATTACCAAAATGATAGCTTTGGGTAAACTGACAATATCTGGAACTTATCACATGCAAAGCAATTTAGTGTTGCCACTGTGAGGTATAATTTGGCAAGAAGTTACATACAACTGGACCAGTGAGAATTCTGGCTACTGGCTATTTATCACTATCTATAGACCAGTGACTTCTTCATACACATGGCTAGAGAAAAGAGTGTTCACTCTCTTCCTCTGCATCTCTATTTTCTGGCTCTAGTTTTCCTTCTCCTCCTACGAACATTTCTCCACACATCCTTTGACAGATGGCCATCACTACAGCTTTTGGTTTAGATATATATTGGTTGAGATGCCAATTACTCCAGCATTATATTACATTAGAGGTAGAATCACATAGTATTACAGAGCACAACATTTAGAGCTAAGGGCCATTGACAAGTGAACATTGTGATCACCTGTAAATTATGAGTCCTGACCACCAGTGAGGTTCACTGAATTCATGAATATAAAGCATTTGATAAAACTTCAGAATATATATGTTCAATAAATGACTGTAATTAAAATGATAGTATCACTTCCTTCACTAGGCTTTTATTTAGTTACTTTGATATTTTCTTCCTAATAAAATATTTTAATAGCAAACTCATTTAAGTCCGTCTGCCTAGATTTATTTATTTACTTTTGTTTATTGAAATTAATTTTTATACACTACATTCTAATTATGGTTTCCCTTGCCCAACTCCCCCCAGGATCTCTGTACACCATCCCCCCCATCCAGATCCACAAACTTTCTGTCCGTGGATGGAAAACAAGCATCTATGGATTAATAAAACAAAACAAAATAAAATAAAACAAATTGGAATGGTACAAAATGAACAAGCAGAAAATAAAGAGCCAAAGAAAAAGTACAAGAAATGCACACAGTTGCATGCATGTACACACACACACACACACACACACACACACACACACACACACACAAAATGCCCTGGCACAACATTATGAGACAAAGAACATCCAAAGCTGGCATTGGGTTCCTTTGAATAAGCCATCTACTACTGGGCATGTGGTCTACCCTTAAAAGTGGTTTGTTTCCCTGGTGAGAGTGTACCTTGGATAAACTTAATTTTCCATTGCAAGTGATTATCAATTGGAGATAATATTTGGGTTAGGGATGGGGGCTAAATTTAAATTGCAATTTTAATGTGTTTAAACTTTTTGATCACATGTAAGCACTTTTTGTAAACAACGGTCATTTAAGATATTTCAAATATCTGAAGGTAACAGTCAAAATCTAAAGACCATGACAAGCTTTTCTATTTCCATTGTTGTTTGTGAGGAGGTAAAAATAAATAATCTGAATAGTATTGTAAAATAAAATTTGAAATAAATAAATAAATAAATCATCTGATCCAGGAAATTGTTTAAAGTAAGAAGTTGAGTTTTCTATCAACTAGTAATAACTGAAGGAGAGATTTAGATGTCATCTACTTAAATGAACCATGGAGGTAACCATATTGGTTTATTCAGGATTAAACTGAAATTCAATTACAAAGTTGGCCTCTGTGAAAAAGACTTCTATGGCCAGATAATTGCTAAATCTCTTTGTCTGTCTGTCTCTCTGACTGTCTCTCTGTTTCTCTCTCCTTCTCCCTCTCCCCTTCCTCAAGTTGAATGTTATTATTTGATCTTGATCAGGTTGTTATTTTTTTTGCTTTTCATTTCTTTTGATATGTTATTTATAAAATCTCATCTCATTAATAATACTAACTGTAAATCAAATCCGAACACTTAACTTTTAAATAGAACATATATAGATTTTTTTATTAACCAGATATTTCCCAACACTGTTCTCCTCAGTACTACTTCCTAATTGTTATTTTTAAATAGAGAACTTTTTATTTGGTATTAAAAATCTTTGGTATTGGTGGTACAAAAGTGTTTTTCTCATGTATTAATGTTGGTGATAGCATTAATCCTTTCAAAAAATACGTGGCCATCATGTTCAATGTTACCTGTTATATCAGGGGGCTTTCTTTCATTTTGTAGCTGGCTTAAGTCCTGCTGAGATTCAGCAGCTATGGAAAGAAGTGACTGGAGTCCACAGTATGGAAGACAATGGCATTAAGCATGGAGGGCTAGACCTCACAACTAACAATTCCTCCTCGACTACCTCCTCCACCACTTCCAAAGCATCACCACCAATACCACATCATTCCATCGTGAATGGACAGTCTTCGGTTCTGAATGCAAGGCGGGACAGGTAAATCTCCTCCCCTGCTCTCTCTGCTTACATCCGTATTTCATCTCCACAATCTGGTAAAACTGAAACGATAATTTACACCTAACAGGAACAAAAATATATTTAGAGCAAGTGAAGAAGAAATCATTATTGTTGACCTTTTATTATTTTAAACTATAAAAGAACCTTAAATGCCACCAGTATAGTAGATATAGTTGGGGAGCATGCCAAAAGAAATTAAGTTTTCCCTGCGTATGCAGGGAATGATTGTATTGATGGATTTGAATAACATATTGTGAGTTACCTGAAGAGTTATGAGAACATTTCACTATTTTAAGAAAAACAGTTTTTAAATTCCAAATAATTAAATATGTGTGCATACATGCATATTCTCCTTAATATATACATATTAGTTCACATTTCAAATGTGTACTTAAAAATTAGAAAGTAGCTGAACATTATGTAATCCAGAATATGGATGATCAGAGTTGCTTTTTCTTGTTGTGGCATGATGTGATTAATAAATATATTAAAATGAACACATATTGATGTTTTTAAAAATAAATTTAACTGAAAACGCATGCAGGAGAATAATTTGACTTTTGTCACTAATGTTACATTGTGTGAAATAACTTCCCAACTTAGTGTTTCATCTTAGCTATGTCAAAACTGCCCTTCCAAAAGGAAAAACAAGGTATTTTTCCTGACTTAATTCAACTTTCTTAAACACATCACTTCCAAATCAAATCAATTATTGTCAAATAACTTACATAAAGCATTAAAAACAAAAAGTTGGTTTTAAAACATAAAGATTAGGTACAGAATTTTATAATGAAGTGGCTTACATACACAGACTGCCCTGCTCCCAAATGGAACATGTAATTGATTGGTAGTTATCTGCCATGTAATAATATATTTGCCTAAATGCAACAAATACTTGGCCATAATTTTTTTTCCAAAGAAATATATAAGTAATTGCAGCACTGTTTAAAATAGTAGACCGGCATTCATCTGAGCACATGTGGGTTTTCATGTTAGTTTTTGTTACAGAATGATATGCCTCTGGATGCTTTCATGCTGTTGTTTTAATTGAGATTAATTTGATGATTATATACTTCAGAAATAGGTTAGTTTTTCTAGGATCTCTCTATCTGATATAATAACCACTTATTAAAGGCCTGCCATAATTATGTTAGGATATTGATAATAGATACCTTTCCAAAGCAGGATTTTTCAAATCAGCTGTAGCCACTAGGAATATTTGTATGTACATTTACACATGAATATTAGTTTAAAAGGTTCTAATGTTCATATTGCTTTTTAAAGAAGTATTTCGAAAGTATTCTGATGATTTTTCATTTGACTTTCATTAAAATACATTTTTCCCTCTCCATAACATAAGGTTATATATATTTTTTTTATTTAGAGGTAAAATGTTACAGTAAGGTCATATGGCAGGATTAGCATATGATATTATACAGTACTCTTAGTTTTTCCTCCTTTATTAACAGTCATCTTTGGCTCTATTTCTCCTCTAATTGGAACATCATCTAGCCTTGGCAGTTGAACTATTCAATAGAACGATTAAATTTTTCTGACTGCTCTGAGCTGAATTGACCTGTTTTGACCTGTTTGTCACTGATCGTAACCTGACAGGCGCTAGCAGCCTGCAACGATTATGGCTTTCTGAGATGAATCTGACGTTGTGTTCTCTTGCTTTAGCTCGTCGCATGAGGAGACTGGAGCCTCCCACACTCTCTACGGCCATGGAGTTTGCAAGTGGCCAGGCTGTGAAAGCATATGTGAAGATTTTGGACAGTTTTTGAAGTAGGTTTTAAGTTTTCATTGGGAAGGGAAGCAGATTACATGGTAATTTTGGCACACTGCTGTAAAGTAAACAAAAGAAGGAGGAATGAAAAGATGAATCCATCCTAGAACACATTCAGTTTTCAGTTTGTTTCAACAAGTGGGCTGGAAAAATCAACCCAAGAGTCTTAACAGGTCATAGTCATCTTTTTATTAAAGTATTTAGCAAATTATTTCGAAGGCTTTGAATCAATGGGAATATGAGCCTGCCATGATGGTGAGACAGGTTTGTAAAAGAGCACTGTCTTAAAATTGAAATTTCTAATGATAGTTTCATGTAAGATTTAAGTAAGCATAAAATATCTCTAAATGTAATAAAATAGGAATATTTTATAGATTTATTTAAAGTGGCAGACTTTGTATTTCTACTTTCAATAATGGCATTTAATAACAAGAATCAAAAATGAAAATCAGTGATGTCTAACATTTGAAGAAACAGCTACATTTCACTCACCTTGTTACCTTATGCCATTTATGATGCTATGTTTGGAAAACAGATTTATGTAATTCCTCCAGCATAAAATCCAACCTTGTGCATCCTTTATATCTCCCTACAGTATTTTAGTTTTGAGGCTTCTTCAGGGGTTCTTCTGCAGATGAGAACATTCTCTATTCATGAATGATTTTTCTGCGCACAGTATTGGTACAGGAAAGATCTGAACAGAGAGCAGCAGACAGGTTTATGGAGATGAGCAACTTCACAGGCTGAGCCTCTTGTGTTGTCATGGTGCAGCTAACAGGGTGAATGAACTGTTTCATGCTTCATCAACAATTAAGTTAATTAGCTCATTTGAAATTGCACTGCTTTGTTGCCAGGATGTTGGCAGAAACATCAAAAAGATGTGTTTACAAATGGTAGACTGACTGCAGAGTCCTGAGCCAAAGCTCCCTAACAACGAGGCAAGCACTTGGTATCATAATACCTTTATAAATGATTACAGGAAGACTTCCATGAAGATTTTCTTTAACCTTTCATAGTTTCAGACCAATTAAGAGAAAATTTGCTTCACATATCACAACGGCTCTTTAGAAATGGACTCAAATGAAAACTTACATGTCTGTTACACCAGACCAACTGTGAGCTGCCATTTTTCTGGGTGTGAAATTTATTATACTATTCCCAGCAAGGAGGGTATTTAAAAATTGTTAGGTAGCCTTGTTGAACTTTTCTACTACCAAAAGAAATTGGCTGAAACAAAAAATGTAGAGGTGTAAATTATTTTAACAATACTTTCATAATTTTATCTCCATCATTACTGTGTATCATCTGCTGTGACTGGGATAGTTTCTAAGGTGACTGATGCTGTGTCATAGGAATGAAAACCGAATTTATAATACTACTTAATTATATGTATTTTCTTGCTCTAAATATATTTTACTTAACATCTGGCTCACTTTCTAAGAGAAAGTGCATACCTCTCCTTTAGAACAGTTTCCTTTATGACACATGAAGTGCATTTTTCACACATTTCAAGTATTTAATTTTTATCACTAGCAAGTGGGTGAATATGAACTCCTATTTTATCCTCCATGGTCTTTTTTCATATTCACACAGGTTTCTTTATTTTTAATTGGAGAAATTACAATTAAGAAAACATTTTGTTTCAATTACATATCAAATTTGGTTTCAAAGATTGACTGCTTTTCTAGCCATTAACTTTATAGAAATAACAGATCTAATGACAGTAGATTTTAAGGTATTCCTTTTACCTCATTTTTATAGGATATGCTTTAAATTCTCCAAATTAAAGGTCCATGATAAATTTTGTTCATAGTTACTGATAATATACTACACTGAAGTGATATATTAATTTTACAAATTTCCTGAGCTAGTATTATCTTTTTCTTAAAGATATATGAGAAATTTGAAAAGAAATAATATTTGTTATTAAGAAAGTACTTCATTTATTCAGGAAAAAGTTCAGTCATCATATATATATATATATATATATATATATATATATATATATATTCCCAGAAATCATATGTTATTGAACTCAGGAACTTTATTTTATCTACATATTTAGTAACATGTAGGGTATAATTTTCTATTGAGCAAAAAATGAAAATTAATACAGATTAAGACAATAGAAGATAATCAGAAATACAGGACAAGGTCTACGCTAACATCTTTCAGTAGAAAGTTGTAAATTTTTACTGGAAAGTGAGAATTGACAGAACTTAACCATTCTTTTTTCTGACCAGCAATTGAGGATCTCACTAGATCACTAAAAGCATTAATACTACTTCTTTGTTACTGTCTTATAAATGTCAAAGTGTAATCGCATCTGACAAAACTTTAGTGTAGTTTGACTGCAGAATTAATTACCGTCCCATTGCACCGACGTCAGCTTGAATATAGATGTATTGACTTTCAAAGCCTAAGCCTAAAGGTTTAGAGTGCAGCATTCCAGTTAGCAGACAAGTGTTTTGAACTTGCCTGCACAGGTGCCAGCAAACAAAACATGGTGTGGGATGCAGCACCAGTAATACTGTCCTTTGTGAAAGTAACAATGGCTAGTATTCTTTAAATTTTCTGTGTGCCTATCAGCATTCTAAAGATTAATTAAACAATGAACATGAATGAAGACTGTTGGTGATTGGTGCTTTGAGGCTGGATACTGTAGTGAAGCAGGAGAAAAAGCAGTGGAAACAGATTCATTTATTTAGTGGAAAATTTGTTTCCTTTCTCTTGCAGCCAACTACTCTAAAATTTATGTTCTTACTTAGAGTGTATTGTCTATTTCTTTGTCTTTCACTCGGCAGCATGGCTACAAAATTATGACCTCAAGAAGGCATTCTTTGAACTTGTCAGAATGTTGTTTCTTTTGGTGACAGTGCCCACATCTTTCAAAACTAAGGCATCTCACGTAATCAGCTAAATGAATAGTGACAGCTAACATTTTGTATTTAAACTCCTGTCAGTGCTTAAACATAAAAAGCTTGATGCAAAATAAATCAACCCCCAGTGATGTGCAAGTAAAACATTTTGTTAGAACAGTCTCTGAGACAATTGAATTTCAGCACATCCCCCTTTTTAGCTTATAAAATGCTATATAACTTTAAATGAATTTGAAAAAATCTAGAGGTTAAAATTGAATTGCTAATCTGCAGTGTGTATAATTGAAGTTAACACATGCGTCTGTAACCATAAAGGCTTCATTGAAGGCAATTGTAGATTAAATAAATTGCAAAGATTCCCCCCCCATACTTTCTGTCTTCCTGAAATGTTTGCTTAATTGTTTTTAGAAAGACTTTCACTGTCTGTTTATGTTTTCCCCCATAGTTCACACTACCTAGCTAGCACACAGAAGCAATGCAGTTCTGAAAGAACGTCAGTCGACCACATCATTTATTCCATTTTGAAAACAAAAATCAATATAGCTATAAAGTGACCCATAAATTAGAAGTGGCTCCCACGATGTTTGCTCAGTGCTGGCTTTCTGAAGGCCCCCTTTGCATTTTTTCTTCACCTCTCTGTTTGAACTGCAGTCTCGGTAAGAGGCTCATTAGGGGACATTAGGGACTGGAGCTAACCAGAATTCCAGAGCTTGCTTTGCTCTTATTAATGCATAGTAGAGTAGAATGCATTTAAATATTTCATAGGCATTCAGTAATTTGTGTGTAATCGCCTTGTTAGCAGACCAGTAGAAGTAGAGCAGGCCTGTGAAATGGTGTTAGTGATTGCATGGGTAATTTACAGACCTTTGCCACCAGAAAGCATTATTGTTGGCTAGGATGAAGCTGTGAAATAGAACTAGCAATAAGTTAAACAAGAAAGTTAATAAAGGTTTTCTAACAAGCATCTTCTGGGATAACAGTTCCACTTGGTCCTTTGTAAGAACCCATAATTTATGACATAGGCAATATATCAACTGCATAAGATGGTATCATGGAGAATTCATATGAAAAGGGTATTGGCAACATTAGTTCCAACTTCCTGCGAGGGACATGATTAAATGATTAATGAAATGTCCCTTTGCATATGCATTTTGAAACAGCAATTAGGCACTGACTGCAAAAATCCACCGAACCTCTCATTTTTCAGTATTATCTCATTCTTGATTTATAAATCATAGAGAATTTTTGAACAGCAATATGTAGTACCTGAGATGGTTATAAAAACATAAAAGAGAATAATTTGAGCACAAAATAGTCATAAATACATAAATTCATAATTTAATGTTAATGCTTAGCCTATTTATTTGGTCTTAATGCTTTGTATTTATATCCGACACTATTTCTGTACTTTGATTGGCATAATTAAGTAGGGGGAATGAATAGGCACCATTATTTTACATATCACTGGTAAACAATAGCGAGGAAAGGATAAGGGAGATGTGGCAGAGGTATGTATGTGTTTTTCAAGTTCTCAGTAATCCACTGGAGGCTGTTCCATAAATGATCATTGAAGGGCTGCAAGCTAGCCTATAATTACAGGAAAGAAAGTGGCAGCCGTGGCATTTCATAACTATGTGTCCTCGAAAAGTGCTTTGTGAGTTTGTCACCAATGATAATTTAGATAGAGGCTCATTACTGAACATCACAACACTTTAAAAACCTTTCGCCTTCATACAGGAGAATAAAGGACTATTTTAATGGCAAGGTTCTTTTGTGTTCCACTGAAAAATTCAATCAAGACAAAACCTCATTGACTATTATTGTAGTCTCCAGTCTCTATTCTAATAAAAGCTGCAGAGATAAATTGAATAGGTCTCTAAAACCCAAGTATATAATGCAAACATTTTGTGCTTTTTTCTTGGTTCTATAAATATAAGTTAATTATCTCTAAGAAGTAAACAAGTATAAAAATTCTTTTTAAAAAGTGATTTCATGCAAAAATATATGTTATATTGAATATACCTATTCAGATAAAACCACATCATCTATTTATCTTCTATGCTCTATTTATATCCTAATCTTTATGTATAGCTTATTTAAAAATATGCATCTTTTAGGCTGATTGCAGGATAAATTATGTGTATTCCTCAAGAATTCATGGTGGAAAAAAAATATATCTCAGAAAAACACAGCAATACCAAACCTTAAAGATGCAACAAATTATTGTGCTAATACTGCTAGGACTTTGCTTCATTGTTCATTAAAATTTGGTGGACGAAACTTTGAAGAATAATTATTAATGATGTCTTGTTTATTAGAAATTAGTGACATTTTATGCTGCTCACTAACCCCTGACTTACTCTGACATTCCATGCCTTCTTCCCAGAGAGCTTGAATGATTCCAGCCCTCATTACAGACACGTTTGTAGCAGATCTTGCAGAAGCTGAGTCAGAGCAGACAGGAGGGGTGGGAAGGAACTCTCATGTACCCTGGGCACACAACTCTAGCTTGACCTGATCCACCTCACTATTTTAGTCCACAGTTTATCATCAGCCAAGCCTGGCAATTACAGCAAGATGCATGGAGGTCTGTTGCTATAATCAGAGAGAAGGTGTTAAAACAAACTGGCCTAATTTATCAAAGTTGGGGTGGAAAGGAGCAGAGGTTTCTGATGTCTGAACATAGACCTACTAGCAGATAATCTCACTTATTTACAAGTTAGCTATGAGTCACTGACACCCTAAGTCTTCATATTGTATTGCATATGCATCTGTTCATGCATTATTTCTGCTTAATTCACTTCAACAAGCATAAGTAAAAAAAGGAACACAATTATTTCGTGAATTCAGTATGCTTAGAATTATAAGAAATGCTTTTGAACTATCTTAATACTGTAATATATAGAGGTAATTATATGAATTCTTAATTATGTGTTTTATTCAATATATCTTTTCCCTTTCTGTGGCTCACAAATTGCTGTCTTCATTTACCCATTGCATAAGTAGACTGAAGTTACTTTCTTAATTTAGGAAACCATCAAATAAATAATATATCATAAATTACAAAGCAAACTTTATTGAATATTTCTTTGCTTCTCAAAAATGCTGCTGTATTCATTTATTTTTGGTACAGTAAGATACCATGAATTGGAGACACCCACCTTCATCCCTCATATAAAACAATAAGCATGCATGTTAAGATGAGAGTCACATCATTAGGATGACTTCTTCAACCATGTTTATATATGTCAGAGATATGTCCCAATTTATATGAAGCATCAATATTTTTATTCTGATTCTTCAATGTATTTTATGTAATAGTAATGGAAAATTATTATTGATTGTGGGTATGGATGTTTCTATGAAAAAAATCAGCCACCTTTTCATAATTCACACCACATGATGGTATAAGATACTTCTCACAGAAAATCAACATGCAAACAACAAACTTTTTAATACAAATGAAATCGAGAATTGCCTATCACACATGCGCACACACTCACATGATATTCATTTCAGAGAAAATGGTAAAAGTCTGTGAAATACATCATGATTTCTACTTCTGCCCTGTAAGTGGATGGAGAAATGTCTTTGTAATAACATAAGCTTGGAGACAATGACCATTTTAGCTATTTGAAGAGTCTCTTTGTACTACACAAATTTTCACTGAACATTGAAGCACATTCACCTTCTTTCTCTATGGCTTCAAGGCATTCTGCTTTCCAATTGCAGAAAAATCTACAAGTTCCTTGAAGAGGCAATGCTTTTTAAATCAAGCACATACGACTGCACTAGGTAGCACTTATAATTCTGTTTTGTGTCTTGTGTTTCACAGGCACCTTAACAATGAGCATGCGTTGGATGACCGAAGCACTGCCCAATGTCGAGTGCAAATGCAGGTGGTACAACAATTAGAAATACAGGTATGTCATATGCTCACTTAAAGCACACTTTTCTCTGAGTTCTGGTGTGTTAACTTGAGTACTAAGCAAGTGTTGGATTTTCCTGGCTGCATCAGTGTGTCTTGGTAACACTATACTTGTTCGGATACATGGAGTTTATTTTTAATAACAACAGTTGATAACAGGGTGGACTGTTATACTTTGATGTTCTTATCAATTGGACCTATATAAGTTTTAGGTCCTGTTGTATATATTTGAATATCCTCCAAATAGTGAAACCTATAGTTTCCCCATTGTAGACATGACACTGTAAACCCAAATTTCATAAGATATGACATTGTTGCCCAAACAGTCTTTACACAAGTTAATCTGGGTTCCCCCTGTGCCAAAGGATTGTAGATTATAACCAAAGTGCCATTCTTTTTAATAACGTGAATGAACTACCCTGAAGAATAGCCTCATTTCTATGTCTACTGTACTTAGAACTTAAGACGTTACAATACTTAGTTTTATCTTTGGCTAACATAATGGCAAAGAATGCGTGTCACAGATGGTGTTATAGGTACTGTATAAATACTATTGAAGTTTTATTTTCAAACTTAACATTAAATCAGAGTTTTGTCAAAAATAAACAGAAATTGTAAAACTCATCAGAAAGCAATTTTAACATCCCAGGTCTTACTTTGATTATGGTTTGTCACCCCATTAAGGCTTCCTCTCTTACATCATCTTAAAAATGTCTTCCCAAAACTAACTCTTTGCTTTGTTTAATTAAACATATACCTTGGTTTTTCTCCTCTTTCCTACACCTTTCATTGCTTCCAATCCATCATGCTATTGCTTTTTTCCATGAGAAGAAAAAATGCTTGAGTTGCAAAATAATGAAGGATATGTAAAATGCATCGTCGTCGTCATAGTAGCACAGAAGGCTTTAGGTAGACCTGTTTACCATTGCTAAAAGGTGGACTAAAACATGAGAGGTCAGCTGATGATGCAGTCTGCAGTGTGACCAATTATGCCTCTTTCTTTCTCTCTCTTTTTCTGCTGTGTCTGACTGATGGAAAAGTAAGGTCCGTCAGTTGTAATGAGACCAAGTGCAAGTGTAGATGCAGACTCAGTGGCAGAGTTCAGCGTTTCACACTGCCTGGTCTCTGTCACTCTATTGAATTAGATTGATGATGGCAGATTGCAGGGGGCA